TAATGAACCGTGGTTATTTCACAATTTGGTAAATAGCTCTGTCTAATAATTCGAATAGTGGATTATTCAAATTGCCAGATATCGGAGTTTAAAAATAGAATATATAAAATATGATGTCACAATAAGATTGATAAAGTGCTGACAACTTTTATGAAATCGACTCATCATAAAAGTAATTTTTCATTAAACGGTTAGAATGTTCTCAGCAGTAGCCACATCGATTCGTTTTTTATGTTTATCGAATCATATCAGTTGTACTTTACGTATGTGAATTGTATCACAAAATACCTCATTAATATTGTATGTAATTTGTCAAAAAAGTTCGTGGTTTAAAACGAAATGACGTGGCTACTACTTCGAACAACGTAACGTTTAAATGGAGAATTGCTTTTATATTTATGAAATTTACTATGAAGTAACCCCAAGTTATGATTTTGAGTCAATTTCCACATTAAAATTCTTATATTTGGCAAATTAAACAAAATATATTGCTATCAACTCAATTACCAACTGCTTAAGTTTATACAAGATTTCGTTTTAATGTAGAGAATGGAAGATTAACATCCTCGATTGAACGCAAACATAACTGTTTTGTCTTCAGTTTTCACTATGAAAGTACGTTTTATCCATAGAACTGAGTTTTAGTCATGTCAGGTCGAAGCATGTGTAATGATTATATAACATCTACAAATAAAAAAAGAAGACAAAAGTTAACGTTTGTGTTTCATTCAGTGAGAGCTCTCATTCGGATGAATACTTGCATTTCATATATCGAAGAGAGAGATATTTCAAACGTGAATCGTCCGCAATTTCTTAGATTTTAAGACCAATTGAAGACGCATTACTATCGTTTTATAGTTTACATTGTTTATTGAAACATTTGTACTATTTAATTTTTTTTATGCCACCCAATTAGCTGTTTTCAAAAATAATGAACCGTGGTTATTTCACAATTTGGTAAATAGCTCTGTCTAATAATTCGAATAGTGGATTATTCAAATTGCCAGATATCGGAGTTTAAAAATAGAATATATAAAATATGATGTCACAATAAGATTGATAAAGTGCTGACAACTTTTATGAAATCGACTCATCATAAAAGTAATTTTTCAATAAACGGTTAGGATGTTCTCAGCAGTAGCCACATCGATTCGTTTTTTATGTTTATCGAATCATATCAGTTGTACTTTACGTATGTGAATTGTATCACAAAATACCTCATTAATATTGTATGTAATTTGTCAAAAAAGTTCGTGGTTTCTGTTCTATGACGAGTGTCTTTTTTGTAAAATTATTCTATGGTATACGCAAGATTATTGAGAGAACAAATCACACCTTATTAGTAAAAATCGGTACTTATATAAGAACTCTTCTTGTTTGTCATTTTCATTTTCTTCAGGTTGGAAATTTTTCCCTTACCCTTTCAACTGTCTTTCGACAGATGGACTAGTGGTTCCTAACTGAAGGTGTTTGTTGGTAACGACATAAAGATCAATGACCTCTATGCCGCTCTNCGTTCTGAAAAAGGTCTCGAGGAAACGAAGGCACAAATTGGAGAAGTCGATAAAGGTATAACTGTACAACACTATGTTACAGATTTTTCAAAACCAAATATTGATGATTATACGAAGTTGATTCAGAAAGTTCTAGAATCAGTTGACACTAAAGGCATTGAATTGGGAATGATTTTCCACAATGCTGGTTATGTTGGTACAGTAAAGCAAACAACTGATTTAACTGATATCACAGCATGGCGCGAATATTATGATGTTAACTTATTTTCTGTTGCTATGTTGAACAGTATTTTCATGAAAAAAATCAGACCTGTCGCTCCACAGTTGGTGGTGGTAAATATAACATCCCTAGTTGGGCGCACACCTTTTGCAAACTTGGCAATGTACGGTTCAGGAAAAGCTGCCAGAGACATTTTTTTCAAAGTTCTGGCTACTGAAGAACCCAATGTTGTGGTTTTTAATTATTCGCCTGGTCCTGTTGATACAGATATGTTTGAATATATTGTAGAGAATGCCCAATCTACAGAAGTTCAGAAATCATTTAAAGAGACAAGAGAAAGTAGTATTTTGACAACTGCCCAAACTGTAAATAAAATGTTGGAGTTATTAGAAAAGGGAGATTTTAAGTCTGGTGATACTATCGATTACTTTGATTCTTAACTGATTTACAGTTAAGTATTATAAAAAATTAATCCTCATACATGAACCTCTATTATTTTCAGAATTATTCTATACAATTTTTATGAATCTCTTTTTTAATAAACAATAACTAGCAGACTGAACGTAATTATAAGTTTCATATAAGTATGTAACTTTCAGTAAAACCTTAGTTTTATCCAAGTTGGAAAAAAATTCCCTTTTTTTAAAGAAAGCTATATGACCTTGTTGTGCAGANAATATTTTTCGTTAGTCCATGGTTAGCTAACACAAACATTGTTTGGCTTCGGGACTAATAGTTATTGCAAATGCCAATCTAAATGAAAAATGCACACGTTTAAAATGTATTGGCACATCTGTATGTATAATAGGAATTTGTGATATTGATATATTTTCACCTCAGAACTTTGCCATTTAAAATGCTGGCTTTCGACTTTCAAGTCGAAGACGTTGCACAGGTGCCTGAATGGTTTTACTTCAACTTTCTGCGCGGCATTAGCCGAGTTAGTTGTTGTTTTTTCTGTTGGGTATCTGCCACACGAATCTACAAAGTCGTAGTGATGAATGATATCAACTCGTTCAAACTAGCTAATGTGGCAGGAAAAGCAGGTAGATATTTAAGCCCCGAGGAACACTGAAGGATGTTGAACAGAAAAAAAAAGAAGGTTTCTGAACATAATTATATTTCCATAGACAAATATTCTCTTTCAATAAACATTAACTCATTTCGATCCATTCTCCAACCTCATCTTTTTCGATTTGGACGAAGTCGATCTTTCAGCCATCATAAACGGAACTTTGTGTTCTAATGTCATGCAGTTGTCGGGTGGCAGCCCCAAGCAAGCTTTCATCACATTTTCAAGACAAGACCTTTGCCTGTTCAGGGCATTAACAACGGGGGTTCCATGGGGGACGAGAGGAGCCTTGCAAAGGTAACTGAGAAGGGACAGTACAGAATGGAAAGATGTGTATTCTTCATCGGTCCAGTTTTCTCTTTTGATTTTTATCCTTGAAAACAGCTCGGCGAGGAGAATCAAATCCAAAATGATGGGTGTGGCTAGTAGTGAATCTTCGCAAGTATTGTGTATGACTATGGTGTTCTGGCCTCCCATCATGATTTCCGAAGTGTATTCATCGAGAGCTCTTTTCGAGTCACCTATAACATATCCATTAATCAAAAATGTACTTTATTGTCAAAGAAAAAATTATTGTTAACAAAGCTTGAATAAATAAAAAAACAGTCAATTCACAGTGACAATGGAACAATATAGATTATAACGCTACATGTAGACAGGACATAAGATTCTACAAAGCAGTTAAGAATGGATTTACATCTATAGATAAAATAAATAAATCAGTCGGTTCGAACTCAAGGGTTCAGGTACTCAAAATCTGTCTTCAAGATATTCTTCCAAGCTATTATATGCCAAACAGCCCGAAACGGATCTGCAAGTGTGTTCCAATAATTGAAAATCTATTGCGACAGTTGTCGCAACAGCATATGCAGGAATAACTTCAGTGAAGAATCCTGCACTGACACCTGTCGGATATAATCAAACGCCCTTCGTAGTATTAGCCGGGGGAGTAGTTGTTTTCTGATAGGTGTCAGTCCATTAACCTAGATGATTCGCAAAAAACTCGCATTTTGTGAATTATCGTTCGTAGGGCGACGACAGCTGGTTGAAGAAAAACTCATTATGAAGCCAATTCATTTTTCAATGAGTTTTATTAAAATAGTATTGAGTATGTTGTTATTTATAGTTACTCAAAGGAGTTGGAAGTTCTTATTTGAATTACCAATTGAAACTTACCGACATATGGAACGTATTTGATAACAACTACATGATCCGGTTTTTCTCCTGGTTTGTATAGAACATCGTTGGAAGATACCATATCATCTACTACATTACTCTTGGAAATCTGAAAAATAGAAAATCCATAACATATGAGTGCCATAAAACGATTTCTCGTTAATATATTACCGATGTTAATACATCGTCTCTGAATTTCTATTGCCGCTCTATATATTTTTGGATGGAAATTTTGAGTTTATTTATTTTGAGAATATTTAAATTTATTTATTATTCACCGAATACTGTCAAAGAAATTATTTAAAACTTCAAAAATTTTGAATCCGTACGAGCAAGAGTGCAGAAAAATAAACCAGTAGTTAACAATGAAAATATTGAAATTGCAATTTTGGAATATTTTGTGACATACCCAAGCGTATTTACCAGATGAGTAGCATTAGAATCAGGAATGTCTCAGGCATCAATACTTAGAATTTTACGAAACCACAATTTTTATCCGTATGTCCTTTCCAAAGTTCAACATTTTAAAGAGACTCATTTTTCACGAAGTGTAGAATTCTGTAAATTCATTTCACTTTGATCTCGAAAAAATGATTTTTTTGGGACAATATTATCTGGACGGATGAAACGAAGTTTACGAAAAACGGGATTTTTCATCAACAAAATTCCCATTATTAGAGCGACATAAATGTACATCCATTTAGAGAACTGAATTTTCCAGAGTCCTGGCAGTTTAATGTTGTACCATAAGAAATGGCAGCAGATATAACCGCCCTCTTCGCTCATTATTTAGCATCAACTGATTTCGAGTGGGATGGTGTTTTTCTGAACACTCCATTAAGTCCGGTGGTGGGGAAATTTTTCATAGAAAATTTCGAACAACGGGCCTAAGAGCAATTGGCTGTGAAACCATATTATTGGCCGTGTTATGTTGATGACACGATTTTCTATCATTTCTGAACTAACTCTCTCAACCCAAAAATCAAACTCACAACCAAGGGACTGTAGCCTTCTTGATGGATGTTCTTGCGAACAGACGTGAAGATGGGATATTGAGCCATAGAGTGTAGGGGAGACCGGGGCAAGATGAAGTTCGGGGCAGCACGGGAAGTAAGCTTGTGTGCGTGAATAGTAATCGTGTTCGGAGCGGCGACAGCGCCATTTGCACGAACTTCACTCTCCGCTAGTGTGTCCAAGCAGAGCGAACAGGTTAGAACTCGTTTTTGCGTTGCAGAGAAACATCGAAGAATAAATGTGTAGTGATCTATTGCTGAATTTGTTACGAAAGTGGTTACTAAAATTAATGAAAAAGCTAGGTGTACTTATTGAAAAAAAGTTGATGGCGGAATCCAATGGACGAAACATTGCAATGAGAATTGATGGTGGCGATCTGAAAAAATATTTTTATTTTCTATCCAGAAAGGTAACTATTGTTCAATGTAGCGAAACTTATAAGTATTATCATTTTTGAGATAGCAATAGTGGGGTCAACTAAAAACGGCCTACAATCACTTTAAGAGTACTATAAAATACTTGATATGATCACTTGTTTAACAAATAATTTGATATTAAGTGATCATTTGAGAAATAAAAAGTAAAACTGAATTCCCAACGGACGTTTCACCAATAAAGTTGGCGTTTTAAACAGTTTACTTCATCTCCTGAAGACGCCAACTTGGTGGGTNGATGATACACGTTGACAGAACATACTCTGCCAACATTTTGTTGGCAAGTCTAAACTTCCTTGACAAATGTCAAAGTAACGTATTGTGGTGAACTAAAGAGTCAAAATTAGTATTTCCTACAAGTGTTCAAGGTTATTTATTACAAAATTCGTATTTTTCAGATCCTAGAAGGTGAAATTACCCAAAAAAGACAAATAAAAAACGATTTGATTGTAACCAACGAATTTTATTGAAAACGAAGAAATGTTGCTAATAATAAAAAAACTTCAAGAATAAACTGCTTGAAATAACATATATGTAATGTTATTTCACATTGACAAAAGCTTTTTCTCCTAGTAATGGGATCTTAGTTTTTTCAAATCTTTTTGCAGTTCTCTGCAAAAAAATTTGACTGACTTCAATTTCAGTTCTTGAAATATCTAAGAAATTGAATATATTTCTCAGATATTCAATAACTCTAAGAAGCATACACTCAAAATGAATGCGGATGAAACTACTTCCCTAGATGTCGAACTGAAGTAACCAAGTTACATACTTTTCCAAAATTTTAGTTGTCGATGGACACATTCTAGAATCTTCTGAATTTGCTGGAAATTGGGATTATGTACAGCAACTCATGATTCAAACTGCACGTTTTATATTACAATGAAGCTGATTAAAAGATAATGAAATTGTTGTATGGTAATAGACATATCTGGCACCGAAAAAGCTGATGAATGTGCCAGACTATCTCAACGTTGGTTGAGAGACGTATCTGTGAATCTGAAAGTCTTTCTGAGGAACTCAAATACCTGAAGAATGAGGTCGAAGGAAATGGGTACAGGGAAGAAGAATTCGAGCGGGCCATACGACCCAGGAAAGAGCTCACCAAAGTAACCCCAGCTAGGCTCATCAAATGAAAAGCTTTTTTCCTTATGTTAAAAATGTAACAGACCGGATTGGGATAATTTTAGAGAAACACGACGTGAAACCAATATTTGAGTCAACGAAAACTATCTGAGAGAGTCTGACGTCAGCCAAGGACTCCAGAGCTCCTTTAGCAATATACGGGAATACCGGATCCCTTGTAGCTGCATGTCGGTCTACATTGGAACCACGAAAAGAAGTATAGGAACTCGTGTCTCTGAACACAAGAGACATTGTAGCATAGGACAATCCGTCAAGTCAGCTGTAGTCGAACATGCTCTCAAAGAAGGCACTCTCATTCGAAAATACATACTCGATAAAACTATAAAATTAACGATAAAAAGATAAAATTACTAGCCAAAAATATATAGGGAAGCAATAAAAATTCAGAAACACGGATAATTTCAATAGAAAGGGAAAGGTAATGAACATTATTGAAATCTGGCTACCTGTCCTCAATTGCACACTAACAAAATTATTTGATCAAGTTAGGAGAAACGAAGCCACGCCCATCTATGATAATATAAAGTCTGAGATAATTCCAGCATTTAGTTTCTGTGGTGGTCTTGCAATGAGAATTGTTGGTGATGATGATCTACACATTTACCCATAATGAACTAAAGTAATGTGGACGTATCTTTATATGTTTATGAAACCTAAAACTTTGCTTCTAGAATTTAGTTTTGATTTGTACACGTATTTTTAAGAGTTCATTTTTGTAATAAAATATTTCCTGTTTCAACTGAGTTTTGATTGTTTTGACATTTCAACGGATATTTATATGGAAGACTTGTATTTCCATTAAATTGAATGTTCAGAATTGGTAGAGCACTAATAATAGGGTTAAAACTAATTTATTGGCAGTGTAACACTCTTCCCCAACCTATGTAACAGAGTGCCCCGCTAGCGGGGTAAAGTGTTACAACCGTCATTCGTCGAGATAATATTTTTTTATAAAGGAAATATAAATATTTCAAGAAACGAACATTGTTCAAGGACTAGATACAAAAGAGAGTCGTTATTTTAAATTTATACCTAAAAAAATTATAGGCCGATATGTTTTTTGTGTAACACTGTGCCCCTACTTCCCCTACTCGATAAAACTATAAAATTAACGATAAAAAGATAAAATTACTAGCCAAAAATATATAGGGAGGCAATAATAATTCAGAAACAGGGATAATTTCAATTGAAAGAAAAAGGTAATGAACATTATTGAAATCTGGCTACCTGTCCTTAATTGCACACTAACAAGGTTATTGGATCAAGTTAGGAGAAACGAAGCCACGCCCATCTATGATAATATAAAGTCTGAGATAATTCCAGCTTTCAGTTTCTATATTGAGAATAACTCGAGCAATTCAATCGTTACTTTATCGCCTTTGATTATGTCTACCGCAGTACTAAACGAAACGTTGTAAGGGTTCGATCTCAGGGTTTTTTGAAAGGGGTTGCTGCTGATCCAATGAGACACAGGATAAGGTGCGAAACAATCTATTCTCAGTTCGAGGGGGAGACAGAGTACTTATTTGGTTGTTGACTTAGTTCTAAAATAATTACAAATGTTTCAATAAAATAGTTGAAAGTAGTTAATAAAAACTTCACACACGTGTTACATCATTTATAGTAATAAAAATCATTATCCACCTAAAATAATTACAGGCACGGGACTCGACGGTGAATCTTGTCCTTAAGGTCCACAGAAAGGTAATTTAGAACGAAGTTCACTTTAAAGAGTAAACAAGAAGAATCTTCGAACAATCGAGCAAATATGGCGCATCAAAAACCGTTCTCACTCAGGTCTCTAGAGACGAAAAAGAATCTCGACAGTCGTTCATAAAAAACCTGACCCTGGAAATACTTTGCCAATGCAAAAAACCCGTCAAAATGAAATATTGGTTGCCTATCCCGGAGGGCATGAGGGCCATCGCTACTTATGATTAAGGACGGTAGAAAACTGTAAACAACTGGAATCGGCCTTCACTGCGGCGGATAAGTTACCGAGAAAATTCACCAGATGGC